GTGTGTGTGTGTGTGTGTGTGTGTGTGTGTGTGTGTGTGTGTGTGTGAGTGCAGTACAGTGAAGGTGTCCCCGGGAGGCCACAGTCGACTGGCATTCTGGAGCACTACAGTAATTAATGTGCCTGTGGCGTATTGCTACACAAGCAACCAAAGCACACAGCGCACAGGGGCAGTATCTGTGTGTGTGTGTGTGTGTGTGTGTGTGATGAATGGCCTTGCGTCTTTCTTGCCAGTCTTATTAACAGTGACTACAGGTGTAGGTTACAGAGGTCACTTGTGTCTATATTTGTTGGAACAGACACAATTATTGAATTTGGATAAAACCAGAGGCGGGTACATTATCTCTCATCTGATTTCTGAAAGCATAGTTCATGAACTCGTCAGCTGCCAACTTCCACTTGTAAAATGAGCTCAGTTTAGATGTGTGATAGACTTCAAATGAGGCAAATATAGCTACCATCCACTTTTGTCTTGTAAAACTATTAAAGGGGGCTGGAGCTATATTTTCTTCAGAGACTACAGATGATACTGAAGAAGTTAGAATACAACAAATGCGTATGATTTATACTATTTGTGTTTAAACACCTTGTCTATTTGAAACATAAAACATCTCTCTCCTGTACTTATCTCACCAGTTCCACTTGTGCTATTGTATGCTTTTTCTTTTTGTATTCTTCCTCCATTGTTCGGCTGCTGCTAAGAACGGCACTAACAGCGAGACAGACATTATCAGGCCCGTACACATTTGCACTTTCCTTAGGATCATCTTCGGTGTTTGATTAGTGTCGCTGTTGTACAATGCAGCCCGACTCTCGTCACCTATTTCTGTCCTCCTAACTGTCGGTGATAAACCCAGCCGTCCTCCTGAAGGGCCACACTGTCTGCTTGAGTGATGGCCCAGGTTTATCAGTGGTGCAACGACTGAAGCAAAAACCTGGGATCTGTGGTAGTGGTGCCATCTGTCTGTCTGTGTGTGTTGATGGCAGAATGAAGAGGCATTGGATAGAACCAGGCAGGTAAACAGAAGAGCCTTAATACTACTTCAGGCCCCCGAGGCTACGGACATTTCTGATGCCCTCCTCTTCCTTCACAACATGCTACAGCAATACTAATTCAGAACCCTCCGTCAATGGACAGCGACAAATAGTGCCCTCTTAATTTGTAAGCAGAATATGAATGAATGCATCAATGTAAGACAATATGCCAACGATAAGTCAAGACAAAGTTTAGAGAAGGCCAAAATCATATTATTCCTTTCAGTTTGCTGAAAGGCGTTTCCTGAATCTTCTTTTGTTTGGTTACAAAATATTGGATCTTTTGAAGTGTAGGTTTGCAAATATTGAGCAGCTTTATCGGCTCTACTGAATCTGTCTTAGATATAGTTTCCTGTGAGCTCAAGACAGAGATGGAAGGAAATGAGGAAATTGTGCATTACTGATTACAATACTGATTCTATAAAACCCAGTTCAACATCGAAACAACTTTGGTGACCATCTTTTCTCACTCTGTGTGTAAAGCTTGACTCCCTCTATGCCATTAGTGAGAACATCAACGTCAGTAAACTGGAAAACAAATATTTTTATCTCTACAGTATTCCTTTGTAAGCAGACTGCTATTTAAGCCGACTGCTATTTAAGCCAAAGTCAATATATTGGTATTGATCCATGAACTATCTATATTCTAGTTTCGGTACGTAATCACAAAAATAGCTTTCTTCCACATGTCATCAATCTCTGAATTAAATATCATTTTTCTTTGCAGTGGTGACTTCATTGATTAGGTATTTGTAGCTGTAAATATATAGTACTCTCTAAAGGTGCCTGATTCCACACGACATTCTGTGTTTGCTGCTCGGTAGTAATCTGAAGGGCAGAGGAAGAGACCGTGGTCATGCATCTATACAGACTCTATGGATAGTGCTGGATTGTACTAGTATGCGAGGACATTTTCTGATTCACAACTATTAGCTCTACAATAAATTAAACACATTTGCATGTTACAGTGATGTCGGTCAAAGATCAAAGAGTAACACGCTAATTGAATGTCAATAGATCAACATCAAAAAGTGTGATTAAATCATTGATTTAAGTCCTGAAGCTCTGTAGAGACAGTGTCTAAAACGTTTTCTGAATCTGCTGCTCTCGATAGCCTGTCCACTTGCTCCCTCTAGTGTTCAAAGTTAAGCATAGTCACTTGAGTGCACTAACCCTCACAAGTACCTACTGTAAGCTCGTTGTTTAGTAGTCTATCATTACGTATACCGACTGCAGCAAAACATCTGTCATAAAGAGATACTCTACATTTAATAACATGCCTTACATGATTGCAGTAATACGACATTGAGCTGTACAAGCAAGCCAAGAGACCACACTCCATGCGTTGTATTGACAGTAATATATGCTCAGATGCGGATAAATAGCATGCCATATTTGGTCAATTTCAGAATTAACTGGACGATTTGAGAGGGAAAAATAAGGCAGAAGAAGAAAGAATTGTCTTCGTATAAACACATTACCTAATGCATGTTGTCTCAGTTGATTGTACATCGATATGTTCCTCGGTCCAAAGTGGACCGGCCTGTATAACCAGTTTAGTCGACGCATTATCGGATCATTTTACAGCATTTTTTTGTAATATGAGAGCCAAGTCTTCTCTGCCCCAAGAAGGAAGTACAAGCTCAGCCTGCATTTTCGATCACTTTTCTTCAGCCCACGCAGCGATATACAGTAAACACACGCCCGTGTTTTGCCGGATCAACAAGACCTCTAAATGAATGTTTAATGAGCATTTTAGAAAAGTCATAATGGCATGTCGCTAATGTCCTGTAATGATCTTGCTGTTGATGGCCACGCCTCGATGCTTTAGTCTCCCGCTACGCCTCTGACAGTTGTCTGACAGTGGTTTGAACTTTGCTGGATGTAGACTCGCCTTCACTTCACCACCCAAAAGGACTGCAAGTATCCCATTCACCGCTTCGGCTTCGCTGTAGACAATCATGAGTTTCCCGTTGAGAAAAGCTGTTTCAGGTAGGCTGCCGTTTTCTCTTTGAATGCACGCTGCACTTGTTTTTACTTCATATTTATAGTGTGTGTTTTTGAGAAAAGGCTTCCAAAGTGGTCGTAAGTATAAATGTAGTTGATGTTTTTTTTTTATTATTCTATTGATACAGTAGTGATTTTCTTGGAACTGCTCAGTTAACCGCCTTGGAGCTGTCCGTGGTGCTGAAGTGGCTTTAGTTTGAGCTCTTTATCTCTTCCCTGTTTTGCTCTGGAGTGTTGACGCCGTTTGGTTAGAGGCTTTATGTCTTTTCTTGTTTGAGCTTTATATTTTATTTGTTTAGTTTTAAAGAGCTCTTTCCTATATTTACTTATATTTCGCAAAGATTCAGACTAAGCGACGCCTCATATTTAATCAGCGCAAAAGTACATCATCTTGAGGTGTGTTCCTGCAGTTTATTGGTAATAAGGAGAAATAAATAAAAACAACTACGACAGTTTGGCTTGACGACTGTAGATGGCACTATTGGCTAGGCTGTTAGCTGGGCTCAGTCCAGGACTGAGGCAAAGCACAAGCGATGAGGCAGTCATTGGTGGAGATACTTTTGCTCTGGAGTTTAAAACAGCACTACAAGACCACTCTCTCTTTTAAGTTGGCCTTCTCATTATGTAAATTCATAATTTGTCAGTAGCAGCCCATTAACAATGCAGCCTCTAGGGATAGGAGTCTTAATGGTGGAATCGCATTGGGTATTAAGATGTTGCAGGGAAATAATTATTATGAGTTATATGTGAATTTATGATGCCGTATATCTATCCACCGGCTAGAGGCTGTTTCTGGTATTTGCTCCCACTAAATTCCTGCTGGTTCCACTTTACTCATCTTGCATTAATGTCTGATGATGGCTACACGCTGTTTCATCCCTCGCAGTTATCTGCACGCTGATACGGGCAATTGAATAAGATTAATAACATTTTTAAATCATCTTTGACGGCTGGACGTTCACACAAGTTAGACACATGGGATTCATCTTTTGAAATTCGTAACAGCCAAACCGACCGAGCTGTACCAGTAGTTCTTTACGTTTTCCGTGATTATCTGTCCACTCTTGTCTGATAAAATATAGAAAATAAAAAATATCGGAGGTGATCCCTCCTCTCTCTTTCTCCATCTCGTCCTCCTGTTTGCCAACTCCCCGCCCCCACCTCTTGATATGCACCATGAATTATCCCCATATGACGGCCTGTATGGAGTAGTTCTCCTCTGTGCACATTAACTGAGTTTGTGGCTCACTAGTTAGACTCCCTGCGCCCTCCCTCCTCCCCACCGGTTGTCGGTGGGATGCTTTGCGCTTTGCTCGGATATACTGCACCCAGAATGATGCGCCTGCTGCCGCCGCCGTTGCCTTACGTTGACCCGCTTCAACAAAAGAGAGAGAACAAAATAAATGGAATCTCTTAAGTGATTCGTTCACATCCTCGGCGTTGCCTTTCTAAAACTCGGTGTTAAGTCTCTGTGACAGGCAGCAGCCTCAGTGAGGGATTAGAGAAAGAGAGGAGAGAGCACTGCAAACACTCCCGCTTTCTGCAAACAGGTGTTTCCATCCTTTGGCTGCGCGCTGAGGTTCATTCACGACCACCTGCCTATCCGAGCACCATGTGCGCGGCCATGTAGTTTAGGAGGGACGATGGGAACCCGCTCACGGAGACCGGGGTGGTGCGTTTTTGTTGTGGTGCAGAGAAAATGATAGAGTTGGAGAAACATGCGACGCGCTGGGAGGAAAGTATTCGTGCAGCTTCACAGTGGAGCGTGTGGGTTTAATGTGTTGTTAAGTTTGACTTTTTTTTCTCCCTCGGAGACACAACGGACAATTCCTGAATAACGCCCAAATTCGCGAAAAAAAAAAAAGATTATTAGGACATTGTCTAGCTGGCTTTACCGCACCACTGGGACTATTTTACCGTCTACTCGTCAAGAGTCCACTTGGCAAACACTTTTGTTATTTGACGAATAACTGCCGATTGTTACCACCGCGTCTTGGACGCGTGCCTTTCGGAATCGAGTTTTTTTCTTCTGGGTGATCATTTTCACGCTTCTGCTGAAGTCGTCTCCAGCGCGCAGCCAAACTGGCGATGGCTGCAGCGATCGCCAGCTCCCTCATACGGCAGAAAAGGCAGGCGAGGGAGCGGGAGAAGTCGAATGCCTGCCGCTGCGTCAGCAGCCCCGCTAAAGTCAAGGGGACCTGTGAAAAACCCAACCGACTGAACGTTTTCTCCCGGGTCAAACTCTTCGGCTCCAAGAAGAGGCGAAGGAGACGACCAGGTCTGTTGGGCAAATTTCATCGGGATCAATAAGTCTTCCATCTGTTGTAGGATGCCGTAATAGTTCAAAAATGACTCTTTAACGACAGAGAATATACTGAGTACTGCTCCATTTCTATGCAAATTTCATAAGATGAATCACTCTGCCAGGGGTTGGTGGGAATTCTCCCACCAACCCCTGGCAGAGTGATTGTGAAGACCCTTGTGAAGTCCTCTTTGGCATCTCAGCCTGCCGAGGGACATATTAAACAGATACTTCATCCTTCACTGTCCCCTTATTCAGGCCGCACTGGACAAAATACACAAAAGTGCTTATTAAGTGGATTTTGGAAAATCACTGAAGACTTCACTGTCACTTACGGGTCACTGTTCACTCTTCAAATTACACTGGATGACCAGTTCATCATAGGTGATTAACTTATTCCGTATTACCGGTCTCTAAAATGCATTACTATTACTACATGGCAGCCTTGGGTAGACTACTTAAATATAGAGACACAAGCTTCCCCATAGATTTAAAGAAGTAGGTCTTAACTTTCATTTTGAATTTTAAGCAGACCTCACACTCAGCTCAAAAGTTATATTTACTCATATGTTGGTCAAGTTCTTTGTCGCAGATTTGTATCCAACTGAAAAAAAATGCCGAGCAGATAATGAGCAATACGTGATACCCGATTGTCAGAGTTGAAATGATGAGCATTATAAGTTTATATATAAGTATTACATGTGAGCCAAGATGCTCTTTAAGCACTCTCACTGCAGTGGTGTCAGGGGTGTTGTCTTTGTAGCCTAAAGCACCCCCTCCCTGACAAATCCAGTGCAGATGTGACCACAGCTGCACATCTGACCTGATCACATCAGGCACAAAGATCACCTATTGTCACTTGTGTCACTTTCTTTGTGTGTGTGTGGATATGACGACGACGAAGGGGTGAAGATTCAAATCTCTTTTCTCCCAAACTTTATTCAATCCCATTCATTTCCAACTGTTGTAACTCTGTATACGATGCATCTGGAAGTATAAGGGTTAATTTTTAAGCAACAAAACAACTATTCTGAAACCTTTGCTCTCGCTTCCAATTTCCATTTCTATCCTGTGAAGGAAGCAAACAAGAAGACGGCGTTGTCCGTGTGTGACTTACGGCGTATTTGCTGCACTGCCGGGTAATGCAGTGTGCACATCGTCAGGGACCTTCTGTGTTTAAGGCACATGCTGACATATGTACATTTCTTAATGTAAAGTGAAGGTGTTCCACTGAAAAGTACAAAGTTTTACAATATTTCTGGTGTACACAATGAATAAACCTTCTCTGAAGCAAAAGTAACCCTATAAGGCAAGACATGGTGGTATTGGAAGGTGAGTGAGATGAAAGGAGAGATGAAAGGTGTGGTAGACCACAGTAAAGGACACTCCACCAGGGACAGTAACCAGGCCATGGAGAGCACTTAGCTCTTATCAGACCTACACTGATGTATCACAGGCAGGCTGCACGGCCACTTCAAAAGTAAATGATCTGCCACTTCAGACGTCTTTTAGACTTACTGTAGGTCCTTTTCTATGCTGCTACTAATTGTTTACTTTGGCCTTTGCTCATTTGATTAGTAAAGCTATAACTATTATCATTGAATAATTCCATTTTGTCTTTGTTTTAAATCTAACGCAGTAACAGAGATAAAAAAAAAAAAAATAATAATAATAATAATACAGCTCCTTCTTTTCTATGTCAAAAATATGACAAACATTGAGCACTATATATCACAAGCTGCATAATTTGCAAGTAAATGTTAATGGTCTTCAAATCCTAGTCAAAGATTTGATTGAATTGATTATAATTTAGATATTTGCTTTTAACTGTACATATCCTAAACAAGTTATTATGATTTTCTTGAAACAAAGAGATTTAAAAAAATATTTTCTCTCTAAAATTCTCCTTTGTTGGACAGTTCACATGACGGGAAGCCTCGGGGGAGAAACGGGGTGTGACGTACAAGAAATGTCCTCAGCCATCTTAGACCACCGAGTCACCACAAGCTCCGCCTCCAAAGCCATTTTTAAATGTGATATTATTCGCTCTTGTCCATCTGTGGTCCTAAATCTCTGAGGAGCCTTTTTAGTCACCTCTGGTCCGCTGCAGAGAAAAGACTGTAGACGCAGCAGCATTAATAAAACTCTAGGTCTTACCATTTTGCCAATTAAATACTATTATCAATCAATGCGTCGATCTTACAGCTCACTAAAGCGTAAATGTTAGATTTAATTGTTTCAATTCATCAGACGTCTTGCTATGTTGTTTACCCCCCCGTATAATAGAAAGTGTAAAGTGGCTACAGGATCAGTGGGAATCGGTATATGGGCCAGATTTTAATAGTTGAATCAGATTCTTCCTCTAACATGTTTTTGGTGATGATCATGCTTGCTTGCTCGATTGACAAGTGCATCAGCCTATCACAGTCATCGTAACTGCTACTTTCTGTCCCACCTCATCTCCACTCAACCTTATTACCCTTTGACTAAAGTGGATTTTGTGGCTTTCCAAAACGGCAGCAAGCCGTGACCCAAAAACTGAAGCTTCAAAATGTCCTATTAGAAGGCTCCGAGTGACATCTCATTGCTACATTCTTTTTTTTTTTGTTATCTTCCTACAGTCCGTGTTTCATTCTGGTGTCTTCCTGTCTCTGTGCCCCCTCTGCTTCCACAGAGCCCCAGCTAAAGGGGATCGTGACTAAGCTGTACAGTCGACAAGGTTTCCACCTGCAGCTGCAGGCGGATGGAACCATTGATGGAACGAAGGAGGAGGACAATGGCTACAGTGAGTTTCACTCCAATATTTATTTCATGCATCCAACGTCATGCATTGATGTTGGCCGGGTGGAACCTTTCACCTTGCTACTGTCATTTTGTTTTACCACAGACAGGATGCATTATAGACTACTATTTAACAGAGTATCAACATTATGGCAACTTGAGAGACAGAGCAGCTTTGCAGAATTTCACTGTTCAAAACTGAGCTTGTTTTGATTTTCACTTCTGCGGATAAAAAAAAGTATTGGTTCATAACACAGAGAAAACTTTTTTCTTTGCCACTGCAGAAGTGAGTGGTGGTTAATCGTATCTAATCAAAGTCACAGCAACCTTAAAACTGATGATGGTTGTCTTTTTACTACACACTGTTGTGAGAGCCAGTTATGTCTTATATACTCTGCATTGATGCGTCGCTATCACCGCCATGACACCCACCAGCTCTTTGTTTTCCAATAGACAAATTAGAGAGGAGATCAATGGAAGAGTAACAGAACAGCAGACGACAGCAGAAATAGACCACCTTATAATTAGGTACTGCAGTGAACACTCCACACTTTTGAAGATAATAAAAGTACAGCAGTTAGTGACCTGATGTGAAATCCCCCCCCCCCCCCATACTCAGAGAAAGATGGCACACTGAAACACCTTTGATGTGATACTCACTGTGTAATCCTGACACTAAGCGGCTGTAAACACTTCTGGAGCCTCTGAATTAATACCTCTATATTCAATTAAACTCCCCCGGTGGAGATGGCGTGTGCATCTTACTGTACATATAAATAGCAGCTCTGTGTTTGTGGGATGTTGCAGAAGAAGAACACCACCTTGGAGTTTTTTTCCTAAATAAAGTTAAAGTACTACACAGAGAACACGGTGTCAGTAGAAATGATAAGGAATGAAATTACATCCACACACACGCACACACACACACAATACTATCCTTCACGTCCTTCATGTCTCCAAGGGCTCACTTTTCTGTTGACTTACATAACAACTGTCCCGCATTTGGAAAAGAAAATTAAAGAGTGCTGCTGAAGTGGCGAAGGAGGAAGAGTGAAGCTCTTTGCACCGTTCCTAAAATAGCGTTGTTAGGCGCTGGGTGCGCTTGTCTCCATGGTGACGGAGAGCGCAGTCCTCTTGGAGCTACTGGTGTCTTGTGATGGTGGGAGAGGACCCCCACACACACACACACACACACACACACACGGATTTGATCTTTGCTACAGTAGCTTGCTGAGAAGCCTTGGCCGTTTGGATATGACAATAAAGAAGTTTCATAAGTTTCACAAGTCATGAATCCCAGTGATTTATCTCCCATTTTAAACTGGTTCATCCATGTTGCATCACAACTGAGCAAACCCATTGGGTGAAGAAAAAAAAAAAAAAGAAAAAGAAGAGCATTACTGTAAGGTAACTGTGAAAGAGGTTACTGTTCAATGTTCAAAAGTCTGCCCATTCTGTCGTGTCCAACATGTTTTGCTGTCAATCCTCATCTTTGTAAGTAGAATATAATGTTCGGATTTGAAAGATTATTAAAATGCCCAGTCAGCAACATTTGAGACAATGCCTTTATTTAATTGCTCATGAATGTCCTATATCTTTACCTAACAGTGAACAGACGTGTGTGTTCTTACTTTAATCCTTACTAATGTGAAACTAATTTGAACCCTTTTAAACTTGCTGAACATGCAGGATAACCAGCGCTTCACCAGGCAATGAGCTGCTGGAAGTATCAAAGCTGGTAGAATCAATTAGATACCCGCACACTTACATCTATGCAGAGAACACCTTATTGTTAGCTTTTGTGCTTAAGGACCTTCATCAGAGCATACACGAGCTTCCTGAACATACAATAACAATAAGTCAATAATAATAAAAACAGTGCCATCCTTTATGCATCAGCACAACTGCTTTTGATGCTAAATGTTAAGTCTAGATATAGTCAATATTGACCTAATTTAGCCTTACATTTGTCCTTAAGTAACCCTATTGAGCCCAGCCAGAGAGCCTCTTCAGTGTGCTCAGGTGTTTCTAGGAGGTGACACAGGTTTTACAACACATTACTTTTCATCTGTGGTTCTGTCATATCTCGCCTGCTCTAATTGCCGGCAGGCTGCTCCCAGAATGAGTAACCGATAGGATAAATGATTAAAATGTGACTAGTCCATTGTCATGACTTCTAGGCACATAGAGAGCCTGCAGGCAATCATGAAAACTGTCCCTCAGGCGTCCTCGCCCTTCTTATTCCACGCGGCTCTCGGCACTGAAATGTCTGTGAGTGGGCGGCGGCCCCCGTCATCCTCTTCAGTGTGTTTCTAGGAGCCAGGAAGTAATCGAGTTTCCACTCTTGAAAATCTCCATCAGTCCACCGGCTGGTAATCCTTCTGAAATGAAGCAGGTTATGTGTGCATCGTGGTGGGAGTACGAAGGGAGGGGACTCAGTGAGTGGAAACGGTGCCATTATAAAGACAAAAGTGCTCAGGTAGCAAGATGTTTCAGGGTTGCAACATTTTATATCATCCATTGTAGATCCATATACAGCAAAGCCAAGATGGATCGGTCTGAATAATGGTTGTGGAGAACGTTGAAACCTGTAACCATGAATTTCTGCCAAGAAATTGTTCAGCCTCCGCACTGCAGTCGTGAAGGATGCTCCAAAGAGTAGCAAAAGTTGGAAGGACATTTGTCAAAATGAAAGAAAACTACCAAACCAGAAGTGTTGAATGCTGTCCCACTCTTTCCAACTATTTGTGTAGTAAATGTTGGTGAGAACTAGTTCAGTAATTATGTACATATACTAATTATTGTTTATGTTTAGAGAGGATTCTGTTCTTCTTCCACCCATAATTGCAAAATCTATAGTCATAGTTTCGCCATCTTTGTTTTACAGTCAGTAATCAGCAGATCTATCATTGGTATGTCAGCTTTAATAAATGCACAAGATTACTGCACAGTGCATATTAAATACTGCAGGTATTGAGGTTGTATAATACAAGTCCTATTTGTTTGAGATATACTTTTTACCAGCAGCATCTGCCAAAGCAGGCGTCACCCAAAAAAACATAGGCACACCAATCTGTCATGGAGAGCGGTGCTTCTTTCTCCAGACATCTTTTGATTGCTGTACTAAGAGAAGAACGTCATATGTGTTTGAAAAATGGAGCAATTTAAGTGTGAGCCGTTAGTTAACTCAACCGTACCGTACCCGAGGATATATTTGAGGATATAAGATGCACAGAGGACTGAGAAAGGAGAAGTCATTTTTCGGAGGACAGGAGTTCTGATTATATAACCATGACATGAAAACAAGAACAAGAGAACTCTTGTTATGGAGCATGGTATTACAGGCTGGACTAAAGCATGATACTGTATGCTTGTGAACGCTGTTTTGGACCAATTGCTTCCCATCACCATCCGATATATCCGTCATTCCTAAAGTGCTGGCAGACGATCATGGGATCATGGGATCTTTATCTGAGAGCCTGACGTACTTTCGTTGTTACTGTCGATATGCTCCGACTGTTAAATAAATTCAAACAGGTCATTGGTGACAAGGAGAAGAGACAAGAGAGTAAGTTGAGGATATAACATTTGAAGAAACAAAAAAGAAAGATAGAGAGGGAGAAGCAGAGATGGGGAAGGCAGAGAACTACAAAACAAGTGCTTCTGGGACTTCAACACCTTTTCACTGAACCAGGCATACGCTGGCAATGCCTGTTTACTCTACCAAGTAAATACATTACGCATTCCCGTGGCTGTTGTTTACAATGAAAGCCCAGAGAGAGGGATGTGTGCAGTGTTAAAGCGATAAGGGCAGATGAAATAGCCCATCAAAAAGTCTCTATAGTGCACTTCGCTGGAAGGAGTCTGCAGATAGGGATCCACTAAGTGGTTGACAAGAGGACCTATAGTGAAGGCACGCTCTGACTCACAGATTAACGGGCGTGAAAATGAAGTATAATTTCAACCTCTCACATGTCTTGCACACCGAGTTCCTAAACTAATGTGACGATGTCCAGTCTCAACAATCAAATAGGGAACTTGAGATAAATATTATACTTCTCCTGTTGACATTATTTACTGGATTTGGTAGAAAAACGGTAATAAAAAAGAAAAGAAATCCAACAGCAGGGATGATGGCATCCCTGTTTTGCAGTATGTCCAACAATAGTCAGAACAAAAGGCAAGAAGAAGCACAACTACAGCCTATCAGGAGGATATACATGTGCTTTCCTCTACTCAGCCCGTGGGTTCCCTGGCAGCTTCTTATGAAACACACACACACACGTGTGTACAGTGCAGGCTGACATTAATTAGGTAGAAGTGTACCTCATTGACCAGCTGGGCTGCCGCTGGCTCTCTCAGCCTCCCGACTCGAGCTCAGCCCACTGGTCACGGACAGGTCTATGTCTATGTCTATGTCTATATATATATATATATATATATATATATATATATATATAGACCTGTGTGTGTGTGTGTGTGATCATGAAGCCAATGTGCAGAGGTGTGCAAGTGTTTTCTCTCTTCTTTTCTCATAATGCCGCATCGCAACTGGCCCATAGCATTGTCGGATAACAGCGGTCATCCTCATAGGGCAGATTAACATTTGTTTTCATAATTGATTTCTTTGCATCTCAAAGAATTCTCCAAATTGTGTTTGCAATACTTAAACTTCCCACAGCCTGAGCTGCTTTGTCACTTCAACAATGTCTCTGTTTTTGTCTCGTTTCTAATTCCGTTCATTTGTTTTTTGAAACACGCTGGGGAGAGAGCGGCCGAGTCCCTGAGCTTATGTCGTACCTCTATTTGTGGTTTTGGTTTTGACAGTTCGCGCCTTGGGCTTGCTCTGAAATGTGGATTTGAATATTTGTCCCCTTTCTGGCTTGTGATTTTAATACAGAAATATTAACGGCGGTATTCATTTTGCTGTGTCTGGCTCACTGAATAACTCAAGTATACTGTACGTGATATAAATCTAATATAAAGTATAACAGAATCATGAGAATTTATGGAGGCTGCATTCAATTATTCATTACTTTATTATCTGAAAAATTGTATTAAGTGTATTAATGGAGATCAAATTACAAGTGTTTAATTGTCTCTGTTGTCTGTCTCTTTCCAGCCATATTCAACCTTATTCCAGTGGGGCTGCGAGTGGTGGCCATCCAGGGGGTGCAAACCAAACTCTACCTGGCTATGAACAGTGAGGGGTACCTGTACACATCAGTAAGTGTCTCACTTCATGTGTGTGTGAGTGCTTGTGTGGATGTGTGTGTATGGGATTGGGTCCTGGCCTCTATCGTAGTCACTCACACTGTCGACTCAAGGCATGCCATCCTAACTCTGGTGAAAAAGCATCATCATTTTCTGATATAATTCGGTGTCAATAAAAAGCTGAAGGATAGTGTAAGCAGGTGGAGCAGCGACATATCTGATCGTGGCAGCTGGCTCTTCATCGTCGATTAAATGTGCGAGCTTATGAATAATACCAAGTTGCAGAACGAACAATGTTCCAGTTCGTCTTTTTCCCCAAATGCCACCGTCACATTGTGTGGCAGGTGTCACTGGGGAAGATGTGCACCCAGAGGGCGTGCAGACACACACAGACACACACACACACACGTGCGCATTCACTGTTAACAAACAATCCTCAAAATCAAATTAGTAGAGATTGTTCTGTGTGGTAAAGGTCTAAGTAGACAGGCACAATGGGGATTGATGAAAACAAGCTGAGAAAAAGCAAAGGAAACCTAATGATCTTGTAGCTTTTTATTTTGCAGCTGCTGCTGGCAAATGATCTATTGAATAGTTAAGACAGTAATGTGATGAAGGAAGAAGGAAAACAGGCCTTCCGGCTCTCTCTCTCTCTCCCTCTCCCACCCAGAGTTCACTCTTCTCATACACACAAACACACAAACGAGCTCTCACCAAGCATTAGTTCAGTTAAATGCACTTGCGTCAAGGAATTGCAGAAGGTTATACAATTAGATTTTGGGGAAATAGACTCTGCTCTTTGAGGGTGCTCTCAAGGAATCCAAGAAGCAACAATAATACTGCTGAAAGGACAAACACCCTAAACAGCAATCACATGTATGAGCATTAGATCTCAGCATTGAGGAGATTGAGGTTTTGGGGTCAGCTACAACAGTGAGCAGCATTATGAATACATCAGCAGAATAACAGTGAGAACTGTTAGAACGCCTGAATGCTGGAAGAAGATTAGCTGAAGTTTACGCCACTAATAGTGAACCCTACTTGACAGCCAATGATGTAAAACTTAGTGCTGTTCATCAACTAACACAATGCTATTTAACTGCAATTTAAACAACGTAAATACATTGGTTTCTTCAATAACAAATGTAAGTAGAAGACTGCAATCACCCATGCCAACACTGGCAGGTTTCATCTGACAGTTTGAACACAGTAGCGCAACCAGAAGACATTTTTAGAAGTGTTGTTGTCATTCAGCATTTAATAGTAAGCACAAGCAATTGAGCTGCTGTCCATAGTAGGGATGTCAATAGTAGAATTTGACCGATTAATGTGTTAATCAGTTAAACAATTAAAAGTCATTAAAATAATGAGCAAACAAGCTGAAAGGCAAACAGCGCTGGTCCACCTTAAAGGTCAGCCGACTTGAAGTGAGTCTGAGCCAGAGTTGTTGCTAACTTTCGGGGCTAACCTCCTTCACCTAAATCAGCAGGTGGCTGGCAAGACACAGGAACTCTGTTTGTGTCTTGAGGAATTTATTTCCCTCAAAATATAAACTGTACACACACTGCTCTGCTACGATCACAGCTATCACCTTACTGCTGACTTCGTACTCATCGTCACACACACTCCCTCTCTGGACCGGACACCCACTAACGTTACACAGGGCTTGCAATAGCACCCCTGCAGGCACTAATGTTGTCGGTTAATGATTGGTTAACACGGGTTGGCTCAGCAACACCTTGTGTTATACCTTGCTCCAGGCTTAAAACCAAAGGACTCGATTCATTTGAGGCTGTGGCTTCTATATTTAAAACTCACTATTACCACCAATTGGATTGTTGGGCATTTTTTGACTTTCTTATTTTATGTGGCAATCATTAATTGTATAATAATATGATTTATATATCTCTTGTCTTTTTTGTGATATACATGTGTAAAGTCAATCAAATGGTGAAGAGCATAAAAGCTGCATACAGTACATCATCTTTGGTGTTTTAACTACCAGCTCTCACATGTACCATACAGTACATCCTGTAGCTGTTTTAAATAGGAAGAAAGCAGTTGGGGGATGGGGTTGTGGAGCTTTGTGTTTCAGCTAAATTAGAGCAGGAATTGAATTGAATGTGTAGCTGGCTGCCTAATAGTACCTGTCTTGCTGCTGTGGTAAAGCGCTGCCTTAAAGCCACACATTAAACCAGCCAATAGCAGGTCAGCTGGGGGGGGGAATTCCCAATCAACAGTGGAGAGACAACAGATGACGTGTCGTGGGCGTGGGGGGTTTGCTGCTGCTGGGATCTGGATGCCTCCCATTATTCTACTTGTGTGCTTAAGCACATGCATGAATGGGAGCGCGAGTGAATGTTTGCGAAATAATAAAAAGGATTCATGCGATGTATAGTCAATTTACATTTTTAACACACATTCTAATGCACACTAAATTATAAATTATAAATGTAAATGTATAGTTAGGTTTAAGCTGATCGTAATTGAAGTGGCTTTTAGAGCATAAACCGAGCTGCCTCACATACGCATCTGTTTGTACATAACTGTGTGTTCTGTATGTAGAAGAGCATACACCAAGAAAAACAGAGAGAGAGAGAGGAGTGAGAAAAAGAGTGCTGTATGTGTGGGTGAGGCAGAATACACCAGTGAAAACATATTCATCCATCGTGTGGTAGAGGAAGAACCAATTAATGTGTGTTTGACTTTAGAATCCTCTCTTGTACCGTTTGGCCCTCTGCTTTTGAAAACATAGTGGAGATACCGAGATGTTCCCAATACCCTCTAACACGTCTAGCAAAGCAGTGAATATTTTTATGGAATCTGAAGAACAAAAAGCTTTGAGCTTTTCTTGATACGTTATAGATGTTTGGTTATATTTTTACATCCTGAGCTGAGCGGTGTCCACATATCTCACAACGTGCCTTTGAAGTGGTGTTATTAATTTCCTGGTGGGTCATATTTGAATTAGTGTGAGTCACTGAGGCTCCAGTTGAGTGTCATCTAGACTGTTCTGTGTGTAAAATGGAGAGTTCAGGGCTCTTGGGGTGGAGATATTTATCAAGTTGGGGTTGGGATTTACAGGCGTTTTGACCCAAATCGCCAGGCCATTTAAATCCCCTGCAATGCTCATGCAACCTGTGAAAGAGTCCCTGCATTAAGAATATGCATTATGTGGCAGCTAAACATCTGAAATGAAAAGTAACGCCCTCTGAATAATGCACAGGAGACAACAAAAGAATGATGATGATGATGATGATGATGATGATGATGATGATGATGATGAGGAGGAAGAGGAGGTTAAAATAAATCTTGAATAAAAGATGCAGAGATTGTGTAAGATGTTAAAATCATATTGGACTCATATTAAACTTGTATGTAGGATAACCACAAATAACAATAGAAACAGCAAACAAGTCCTCGTAACGTTGTGCTCGTTTTTTAGTACACCCTTGTTAGATATGGAGTTGGCTCACACCCATGCCTTCCCATTCTTTTTAGCAGGCACAATGCCTTTGGTAAATAACCACTGCTGTAGTACGGTTCCACTCCATTGAGCTGTGTCATTAACTAGCTTGTGGTGTGTGTGTTGTGCATGTGTGTGTGCTACTGGCTTCAACGTGTATGCTGTGTGGGTGTGTCTATTTGTGTTTGCTATTTGCAAGGGTCTTTTCCACCAGCTTAAAGCTCTCCAATGTATTCCCAAACAAATGAATACTATGAGTGTATTTTATCTTTAGCTAAAGAAAAAGGTGCCTTCTAATCCACTTCCACTCGACTGAAAAGACTGGGACATTGAAAAGCCGGATTTAGGAAGATTTGTCTTCACTGCCCGGCCATAGAATTAGCTTTTGTGGGTCTCACAAGCATTGATGTGTCTGCAAAGAAACTACAACAGCACTCAGCCCCGATTCCATTGACATAATTGGTGTCATCTTAGTATTGATATGGCAGCTGAATACACACGGGGGCAGTGTGCTGCATTGATTTGGCTCGTCTTGTGAAAAGTCCAGCCAATATCTTTACAGAGGAGATCAGAACCATTACGCTAGTATTTCTTCTCCCACTGATTGGATCAGGAGAACACTACTGGGGCATAATTACTCCCCTAAAGCCAACCAGACTGCTGTTTGAGCTTGCATCATAATTGATCGCGTTTTCTTGACGTGACTGACAATGCGATTTTCGTTTCACAGTTACTCTCACCACTGCTCAATTGTGAAGAGTTGATAGTTGATAGAGAAAGAGAGTTTCCCCAGATGGGCAGTGTGTGCCTGTTGTGCCATTAAAGGGCCGGAAATCATCCTTCAGGATGTCACACTCAACACTTGCATCAGCCTTTAAATATCCCCTTCCTATATGCAGTTATTGGATCATAAAGACAGGAAACACTGCCATAACTTCAGCCGGGCTTCCCTCTCGCTGTAATGTAAGACCGCTCTCTGCCCATCAGATGAAATTAACTTAATTTAGAAAGACAAGTGTAAATGAATTTGTGTATGTGCCTGCCTTTAACTACACACTTTCAGGAGAGAGCGGAGGTGGCGGAGCAGAAAGGAGAGAAGGATTTATTACGCAAACCTTCTGCGCTTCTAACAAAATTCAATCTGAAGCTGTGACAAAGATGCATCTTGATGTGCTGTTGTGACTATAGTTGTTATTTTGATCAAAAATGAATGTTATAGCATTACTCGCACACCATCAGAGTGCAAAAACACCCTCCTCATATACCATGTATGTCAGGCACCCTACATACAAATATGACCTAATCTTAAAATTGATATGTAAATATGAGGAGGTGAAACTAGAGGTCACTGCTGGCACTGTATTAGGTTTGAAATATAAAACATGAACATACCCTGAAGATTCCAATCCTCTGTCCTATTCATTTTCAAACAGGGGTACGTATGCATCAAAATCCTTAATGTATCAAACACACCGGAGGCTTTCATCTCCTTTTCCTTTCGCCCGATTGGTTCTGTATGAAAGGGGCACAGCTCCTAATAGCACTATGCGCACTCAGACAAAGCTGCAGGCTAATATTCTTTTACAAAAACGCTTGCCTGGACATTGTGTAAGTGAGGTTGCCAGCTGTGCATCATTTGGACAAGGACTTGTCATAGTTGCATATTTCAAGGAAAAAGCCCATGTAGTGTAATGGGATCATTAAAAGTCCATTTAGCCAGAGAGACGTGGGGGGAGAGGGATGACACGACTGGTTTATTATTTCTATGCAGATAGTGTCCTGCTTTTTTATTTCTAAAGTGATTTCCCCCCCGCTCCATCTGGCACTGGAGTCATGATTAAAGTGATGTGAGATTTTTTTTTTTTTCCACCGGGAGATTAGTTTCAGTGAACAATAGATGCGCTATTGACTGAAGGAGACGCTTCTGGAGCACATTCAAAAGAATCTGAATGTTTCTGTCTATCACAGTCCTGTTAGAAGAGAAACGGGGATCCCCTGCCATTTGGCCCCGCCTGGTAACAGTCTGAGTGAGCCTGTCCACAGACCCACTCCAATACAGCAGAACCCAGCCAGCAGCAGCTCCTCCAGCTTGGCTCTAGATGTGCCTGTATCTGTATGTAACCAGCCAAATCCACATAAGCTCATTATTAGAGGTAGAACAGAACTCCTGGCTCGAGAGCTGAGCGGCTCGTTGTTTGGCTTTCACTTGCTGCCTGTGCATGACTGAGACGGATGCTGCCCAGCCTCTCCAAGACTGCTGCTAATCAGAGCAAGAGAGCACAGAAGACATTGAGGTTTTAAGGGAAGAGAACAGTAAAACGATTTAAACTAACAGACTACTTGACAAATACTGCAATACTGTAGCTTACAAGAAATCACAGACCGCTGTGACCTGCCTATGGAAAGAGCCATTTAAAAGTAAATAAGGTCAACAACTGAAAACTACTAAACATTTTAAGGCTCTCTTTCCGTCATCTTGGCTCGAGCTGAACTAAACATGCCACAGCCTGGCTCAGAGTGAGTTTAAGACGAAAGCTCACAACTGCAAAGGAAAAGGGTGTAATTAAAAATACGTCCCAAGTTCACGGCTTTTGTGTGTTTTAACTGCATCGTATACAAAAGCTTCAACAGCATCAGACGTCAACTTCAGCCTTGTTAGCGCTGCAAATGAAGAGTGATGCTGTTAAACTGTTAGAAAACATCCCAGAGAGGCTGTTACGGATGAGTCGTTGTCTGGTAGTGACATGATGTTCGTCATGATCTCACAGTGGGTCTTTGGCCCCTTGGGGACACGTCATCGCTCTCACCATTGACACCCACCAAAGTGGTGTTTTTTTCCCCACTGGGATAGGACTGATCCTGGGTAGACCTGCTTCGGTCTGAAAAAGCATCCATCTGAGAGAGTTCCCTTTGTAATACCCTCTGTGAGTTTGACCCATTGGCTATTACGACTGTGTGATACTGTCATGGTGGTATTTGCATTTTCAGTTTTCTATGATGAAAATGTAAAAGCGTGGCAAGAACAGTTCACTGCTGACTAGCGTACACTGTCCCTCGATGTCTCTCAGGGGGAATCGTCTTCTCATTGATTAGACGAATGTTTTGTAGGCTCACTGCCCGAGCAGCTCTACAAATTGGACAAACACACACTCTTATAGACCGAAGAACACACACACGCACGCAAAATCTTTGCCTCGGAGGACATAAACCTCACTGTTATTCATGGCCAAATCTTATCCAAGCACTGGATACTGAACCAAACAGAAACGGGGAGTGAAGCCGTGCACAGCATGGAGTCTGGTGGATGAATAGCAAAATGTCTCTGGGCAGCCAGTTCATGAAGAGATAAGGTACCCGGGTAACTAAAAGATTGGTAGAGAACACACACACACCTCCTTGCATGCACCACCCAGATGCACACAGATTACATATAAGCCTATTAAAGGCACCTTCTAAAAAGTATTTCATCAGTTGTTGTAGTTTAAAAAAAAGTAAGTACTTAAATACGTAATATAATTGAGTGAAATGGCAGTACTAAATTATTGCTAAATCACCCATAGAGCGGACAATACTGTGAAAGATAATGAACTGCCCATACATAATGAACAGCTCGGAGCAAAATGAGAATATACTCCCCGTGTTTTATTAATGCTCCTCTGTATCTGTCATATCACTGTTGTCTATGATATAAAGCCTACATTATTCACGACCGTAAATGGATTGAATAGTTTTAAAAGATTCTCAAGGGACAAAGATTTCAGAGCAGAGGGCTTGAGCTTTGAGATAACTTCTTCCCTCGTTCTGTGCCCCAGTGGGAGTAGAAGATGCAATGTAATGTACCATTATTAAGTTGCACTCCCAAGTAATGAACTATTCCATTCCAGCTGCTTCTGTTCATACCGGGATGTCAAACACTCTTAAGACCTTGTGAATTACTGTCCAACATCTACCATGCACTGTATCTCCTTCTCCTTTCCTCCCCCGCAGGAACACTTTACGCCAGAGTGCAAATTCAAGGAGTCGGTGTTCGAGAACTATTACGTGACATACTCCTCCATGATATACCGGCAGCAGCAGTCGGGCAGGGGCTGGTACCTCGGTCTGAACAAGGAAGGAGAAATCATGAAGGGCAACCATGTCAAGAAGAACAAGCCAGCAGCCCACTTCCTTCCCAAACCTCTAAAAGGTAAGCCGGCCCACATCCTCTTTCCCATGTTACTGTTCCACCATTAAGGGGTCGAATTATACTCGGTCAGAGTTAGTTCATACACTGCCTGCTCCCACCACGACGAAGATCATAAAAAAGTAAACTCCGAACAGCTTCACTCTAAAGTATAAAGTTGCTGTAACAACTTAATCTATTGGGAAAGTTTCTTAATTATTCAGCAATGTCACTTTTCTAGTTTGTGCTTTATAATAAGAGACCTGTGCTGGGAACCATAATGTTTCTCTAATTAAACTTCTATTCTTTTACAAAAGAGCTGCTTTCTACATGACCCTCTGCCATTGAGCATTCCCCTTAAAGATGCTGGTGTCGACCTAGCTTCCACTAGCTGGTCACACTCCACTGCCGACAGAAGCAGCAGGAACAACATGTTTTAATGCCTCGAATAAGGACTTTATTTTCAGTACAGTGAAGTCAAAGAGAACCCCACCCATCCGGGCTAACGCGTGTGTGATAGTGTGGCAAATGTGGAGAACAGAGGAATGGGAAGGGAGAGGCAGAAATGGGTCTCTCTGTTGAAAAGGCCACCGTTTCCTTTCATCTTCAACAAGACACAGATGTACCTGTCAACAGAGAGAGAGAGTCTGTTTTCACTTCAGTGGGATAAAAGAAAACCCTTTTTTTTCTTAGTAAGGAATAAAAGGCTTGCAGCGCAAAAAAAGCCCAAACAATGACGAAAAGAGGGCCGTTCCTTTAGACAGCCGAGTTTCAAAGTTTGGATCCATCACAAGTTGCTCTTTTTATAGTTGCACTCCTTTATTATGTGTGTGTGTGTGTGTGTGTGTCCATTAACATGCCATACTGGCACTGTCGATTTATTACTGGCTTCTACGGTAACTGTGCGAGAAGATAATTTAGTACCAGATAAAATATGTTATCATGCAATTATCAAGGATCAGGGGATTTGGGCAAAATGTAAATCAAGTTTTATTTTGATATCAGTAAATATTTTGCTTTAGTTGCCACATTTCTGGATATTTGAATTAATAAACTGACATTCACTTACTGATCATTTCATTAGGCACACTTACAACCTAATGCAATCCAATAGAACAGATCTGCCATCAAGTCTACTTTTATAAAGGGTATACTTTTTCAGTTTTTGTTGACTTTATTTGTAATTATTGAGGTCATAGTGGGTGGTGGTGTGATAGTGTATTCTCCCTCCAGTTTCTTTTCGATAAACACTATGACTGACTTCATATTCTTCTGTTATGATCATCCGTACAGTGCAGTTTCATATAAGTTTGTGTCACGGGTGAACTAAAGCATTCATGCGTGATTGTAATGCTGGATATTCCAGTTCAATTCTTCTATTTCCAGTGATGCTGCCCCTTCTTGCATCTTTGGCGAAGCTCCTCCAGCCAGCATCTTATTAAAAGTCTGCGTCTGCCCTCCCAGATCACGATAATAGCTTTTCACTTTCATTTAACCGAGCCATCGAGGGGGTCTCAAACACACTGACGAGCAATAACCAGGGAGGGATTGCCTTGCTTTATGCTCAGAGAAAAATGCTGTGAAAGAGAATAACGAGGATAGATAGATTTTCTGTCTCACCCAACCTATAACAGATTCCAAAAACTATTACCCTCAGCAGTCTTTTTTTGCATTTCATCTCCACGGAGAAATCTAGTATTTTTGCAGTCCAACAGCAAATCCAAAATAAGTTTGTTGTAATACCCAAAGATGCAAGTAATTCTCCTTCTTTTGAACAAATTTTAAATGATCCAGTGATGCACCATATCTACTAAATCGTGTTCATTTAAACTCCAGATGTATCAAGTGGTTTAGAAAGAGCTTTGCAAAGGAACCAGAGAGAGAAATAAAGGAGAATTTGTTCCAGCGGCTCATAAAGATTTAGAGGCGGCGGTGTTACAGGGCACCAATTAAAAAGCTGTCTCTGTATTGGCGACGGCATCTGCTCCAGCCATTACTCACTACTCTTCTGGTTCCAGTCTGTGAGTCTCAGCCCACAGCCTCTCCTTCTGTCTTCCCCTGGATGAAGCAAGTTCAGCTCCCGTCATTCAAAACCCCAAACAGGAAGATCCTCTTACAACTCTTCTGGAAATAATTGATGCAAAGAGTGTGAAAAGTGTACTATGGTCCTTCGAGGGGCGTCTTTCACCGAAACACCCAGAGATTTGTGGAGGAATGTGAAAAATGACGAGATGGATGGTTGTTACTGGGGATTCGTGTCTAAATATAAATAGTGCCACTGGTATCGAGGTGGAACCATAATCCCGAGGTCAGTCGTCCGCTGTTATAATCACACAATACTGTCACTAACAAGCCTGGAATCAATCATCAGCAGTTTCCCAGTGAAACCATCGATTGATGTGTGTGAGGATGGTCTCCGGATTGCTGCCGTGACCAAAATATGCCAGGCTAAGTGAAGTGTCTGAAGGACTGGGTTTGCTGTTTCAGCCACACACTCCCTTAGGAATGAACATCAAATAGCATTCTAGGCAGAAGGATGGCGACAACATCCTGAAACCAAAGACTCGGATCACTGATGTTTCTTCTGAAAAGCGGCTGCTGAGACGCACATTGGGCCAATGCTGCATACACAGCAAAGCTGGAGCACTAGCAGCTCCTGCATTTATAATGGCCAGCTGTGAATATAGGATGTTTTTTTACTTCAGCATCTAATGCTATAATCTCTTGATTCAGCAGTTTGCATGGAACTACAAGATCCCACGTTATGCCATCACTGGAACCAGAGTATTCTAACCGCGACGTCCCACTTTGTCGATTACAAATCACGGTCCTTGATGTCTGTCGTTGCTTGTTTAATGAGTACAAAAAGGTCGGTTTGTCTGATCCTCAATTATTTTGTGTTTCCACAGTGGCAATGTACAGAGAGCCATCCCTCCATGACTTGACAGAGTTCTCCCGGTCCGGCAGCGGCACGCCCACCAAGAGTCGGAGTGCCTCCGCTGTGCTTAACGGAGGCAAAGCCGTGAGCCAGAACGAGTCGACGTAGCCCGGCAGCCGAAAACCCCGGGGCCGAACCACGAAAACCTTACCTCCAGCAGAGCACGAACACAAGCAGACTCATCTCACCGATCGGCGGTTCAGGACTAGCTACGACAACAAAACCACACTCAAATACGCAGACAACATCAATAACAAACACTTAGGTACCATCCTGGTCAATCATCATCAAAAAGATCATCAATAGCAAGAAGGTTAACAGCACAGAAACCATTCTGAACGTTACAACAAAAAATGTACATTTTTGCTTTGGTTTATCCATTACCTTGATCACTCTTTTGGTGATGATCGCATACCAGTTAGCTCATCTTTATCTTGTTTGATTTTTCTTAACTTCCTTTGGTCATTTAGACACCAAGCACTCGTGCATCTGTCGAGACAGGGACAGGAAGTTAGACATGTTGGCGTTCGGGGCTGCCAGTGATAGTGCTGGTCTACGAGCCCTGATCTCTGTCTCATCCATGCTTCTGTGAATACAAAGCCTATAAACTCCCTGGTGTGGCCCAGCCTGGCGCTGCCGGGACTGTGGCCAGCCGGACGGTAGCTCTCCTGCGTCCTAGTGCACACGCTCAGAGACTGAGCTCATGGGAAAATGAAGCCTATGTTCAGCCGACCTGAAATATAAAAAGGGACAGTGTGTGGCTCTCTTGCAGTTTTTCTTTTGTTTTCAGAAATGCCACAGCTGCACCTTGGGTTTTTTGCTATTTTTCTGAATTAGCCAAGAGCTTTTTATTTGATAACTGGTTTTTGTCCCCTCTTCTCTTCCCTCACCATCGTTCAGTATTTGTATTTTTGTTGCCGTTACATCACAGAAAGGGGTTCCAGCAAACCAAAGACAGAACGAAAGAGTGTCCCTTTAAGCCGCTGAAAACCAAGCCAGTATAAAGACTGGACATTTTGTTTTTTTTCATTGTACATTTTTATTGAAAGAAAGCAAAGGTTTGTGGGGGGAAAAAAGGAACAATGGACAAAGCAAGTGATTTTAAACACTTTGGAGGTGGCAGCGTACTTGATGTGTGCTCGATGGCCGAGAATTGAAACGACTATTCTGTGTTCCCATTCCCTTCTGTTACCACTGTGTCACAACGTCTCTGTCCTTTGTCCTCGTGATCCGTCTCCTCCCTCTGTGCTTGTGTGTCATACTTCGACTCCCCCACCTCCCTTTTTGTCGACATCTATTGACCGATACCATTCACCATAGGAATATGGTGCAAGCCCCTTCCCAGGATGCTCGTTATGTGTTTGAGTAACTTATTGTGGTGACAATATTTTCTATATTTAAAAAAAAAAAAAGAATGCTGTGGGCTTTTAGGTGGCTTAACATTTTATAGGACACGTCATATTTGTAAAAGTGGAAAAAAAAAAAAAAAAAGGAAAAACAACATACAAAAATGAACACCTTCCCTTTCTTGCACAGGGCATGTACAAACACAATCATGTACAAAAAGGACCCCTTTTTGTGGGCTAGGTACTCTTCCGTTCAGCTACATAACTTCTTTCTGGTACATGCTTCTGGGAGGCTTTCTTTTCTTAGGTTCCTCCAGAGGTGGTTTGTATTAGGTGAAACTATCTGTTGCATGGGAGAAAGCAGGGAAATTCTGGTATAGAGCTGCATGATGTAGGCTATGTGTATTAACCCATGTTGGATCATGTGTTCCAAACTACCAGGCTAAAGCTGATAAAAACAACATTTTACAGGCAGGCGTTGTGGCTGCCTGGTAACTTCCAGTTGTTTATTATTTGTTGTATACACAAAAATGCACTGAATAAAATGTTTATATTAAGATATAATTTTAAAATGTGTCAGACTTCCTTCTTTGTCCTATCAACTGCCTTATTTATGTAGACTCCTCAACTTAATCTATGTATTCCACCATCCGGCCACTGCAATTATAGAGGAGCTTGGTTGCGGGGATTAGATTTTAGTTGGCAGGATTACATGGTTGGTTGGTGGTGCAGATTTGGGAGCTGAACACACACTCATACCGCACATCTTTGGGACGCTGACGTATCAGCGTACATATGGCTGTAATTGCCTCAGAGTTGAGGAGGACAGGCTTGTAGGGCTCATTGTGTCCAATAAATCAATATGTCATTTTTGGTTTGAGAGGTTGAAGACTACATACCTGGAGATTGCTCCACTGCTGTGGCTTTTCGATTCGTGTCGAGTGGCTCAGCAACGGTGTTAAGTAAGAAACATCACTTTTACCATTTCCCTAAAAGATGGAGATTCCCAAAAGATAAATCATTTTTGGGGCAATGCACAAGATCATCATCCAGACATATCAGAGATCCTTCTAAGTAAAGGGAACTGCAGATTGTGCATGATCAAAACAAGTCTTTACATAATTGGGCCAGTTTAAAAACAAACCCATCTGATGGGTAAAAGCAGAACATGTCAGCTTTAAGTCTTCATATGCACACAAGGTGGAAATGATCTGGCGAGTAAAACAAAGTGGTGAAGAATGATCCGAGTGATGGCATGGCGCCGTGTTAACCTGCCAGGCTCTGTTCATAAGGTCAGCCCTCTCCGTCGGTGCCTCTGTCATCTCTGGAGGAAGCACTTTCTTTAATGAAGGGTTTTGTCCATGATTGTCGCCCACAGTACATGTGAGGAATGATAAGAGTAAAGGGTGTCAGCCTGTGACACAAAGAATAAAGTCATATAAGAAAAAGAAAAGGACTGCAAATACTATTGTTGAGCAAACTGTAGTGAAATGGAAAAAACAAGAAAATGTAAGGTTTTCTGAATTCATTTTCTGAATACAAATGTATTTAATGGGACGTGTCAATCAAGGACACATTGCCTCACATTTTTTAAATAATACCCGTTAGTTTGAAAGTCTAGGAAATGTTGCTGACAGATATCCTCCTCAACCTGGGTTCTTAAACATTTCAATAAAAGTTTACACAAGGAGCAACACAGTCTGCACAGGAATTCCTCTGTAAATTTGCAACAATGTGACATGCAAACTATAGCTCCTGTATGCTTTTTAAAAATGAATGAACGAACAAGTTAACAAACTGTCCCTGTTCTTTTCTTTTTAAACTGACAGGCTCAAAGAGAGATTGTGAAAGAATGAGTGCCTTACATTCCCTCCATACAATATGCATTAGAATACTGTATCTCCATATTTGCAAACGCCAACAATTTGTAAAAAAAAAAAAAAGAAGACCTTTCAGACTTATATTCTGATCAATAGTGCACTGGATAGTGTAGACACACAACTGCACTACTGTTGTCACAATACTACAATTATGACTTTGATACAATACCTGTCTAAAGTATCTCGGTACCAGTAATGAAATGATACCACGGCCAAATAATTAGAATAATAAATTAGGAAAAGCAACAGAATAAACATGACAGAACATGGAACGTAAAATTCTCCTTTTTTATTTATTTTTTTACAGGTGACACAGCTGCTTATTAAAAGGTTAAATCCTTAAGAGGTAAGTACAAGCTGTGCTGTAAGCTTAATTGTCACGTTAACAATGAGGCCACTTACACAACTACGCTCTACAACAGAATCCGCACACCTCTCTCTCTCTCTCTCTCTCCCCCCCCCCTAAGCCGACACACAGACCTCCGCCTCTTCTTGTTGCCATCCTGGTGTTCAAAAGGAGGGGAGACAATGTCCTGCTTGAATCCAGGTTCTCCCGAACGACAATGGATCAAATTTGTCCAAATGGGGTGCGTTTGGGTCCACAAACAGAAGTGAGAACAGGCTCTCTTCACGCAGCCTGTTGCATCTCCGGCTTGCTGCGTAATTTAACAGAAAATCTTTTCTCGCATACACTATCAATACTTGTGAATGAATGTATTCAATACGAATACCGCAGGACATAGTAGACTAAGCTTTTAAAAGACGTTTTCGTGACAATTGCAATTGACAAATTTTTTTTAAAGATTCAAGAGACGCCCAAACTTTTGCTTTGTCGTTGTTTATTTGACAAAAAGACGAGAAAAAAGAAAACGAAAAGAGAGAGATATGTCAGACAAATCTCTTCTGCATTTTGATGGACAATTTTTCTGAATCTGAATTGAACAAATAGTCAACAAAATCCGGTCGTAGTGGAATGTGCTTGAGAAGTTGTGTCATCGTACAATATTTTAAGTGCAAAAGAGACTTGCTGGTTACTACAGCCTACTGCACAACTCTACATTAAACTCACTCTCCATCGTCAGAGGGTGAGATAGAGGAGGCATCCGTTTGGTCTCTGGAGACTGCCTCATTACGCCCATTGCCAGCAGAGACAGGAGGACTAATAGGCCTCTGTGATATAGGCCCCGATATGAGCAGCTTCATCGTTCATGTAGTTTGACATCCCCCTACTCCCTTCATTTCCTTTTTGCCCATCTCTGGACTCCATTCATTAACGGAGGCTGCCACTTTCACTATTTGGGATCTCTTTCTCCATTTCCCTCTTTCTCTGTCTTTCACCCGCTGACCAATCAGTTATTCTGCCCCTCACTTGGCCAGAATAATGAATCTTCATGGAGCCTCTAAAAAAACAAAAAGAAGAAGAGAGAAGATGCAAATCCTGACGAAGCGTCTCTTGCACCTGCTCACAACGCCACGCACGTATACGCACGGGAAGCAAAGCTTTTGCCACTGCAGTGTACAAGGTTCTGAGATCTCGAGTTGGATCGGTCTCCAATAATCTGTCACGAATCGGGCCGAGCTGATGGAGCTGTGATATATGTGAGCACTGTGTACCTGTGAACGCTATAACTCATTACCCTTCATCACTGCCAGCACATGCTGGCTGCCGGCCGGCCGTCCTTCCTCTCTCTCTCTCTCTCTCACTCTCCCTCTCTCCATCTTTGTCACCTTATTCACACTTGCACTTTCGGCGTGACATCCTTTACATGTCCAGAAATGACATGAATGTCTCTATAATGTGCTTTATATGGGGCTGAATAGAAAGGCTTACTGCAGGATCTTTTGGTGCTTCTTTATTGACTGTAATAGAAATTACTAAATTACTCATTAATGCTTTAACAATCAGCAATTATATTATATTATCAGGCTAAGCATTAATAAAAGATGTATTAACGTTGATAAAATCATAAATAACAATTTGAAAACCTTTCATGAGTATGCTTTACTGCAAGTGGTATGTAGAGGATTTGTATCATGATCAGATGTATCAGTTTTACAGTCAAAGCTGTAAAATAAATCCTTTTAACTTCACATATCGTTACTTCCTTTATTTCTGGTTCTTTCTCACTCACAATGTGGATGTTACAGATGTGTCTTGTAGCCTTTTATTATCCTTTTTCTTACAGCGTTGTCACCAGAGGTGTGTTATACAGAAAACAATTTTCCACCTGCCAGTCAAGAAGTCAATGCATGAAATTACTCTAATTATGAGACACGATGGAAAGATTTTTTGCACACAATTTAATGTACAGCAAACTGAGTCAAGCGCAACTTCCCAGAAATATTGATGCGTTTACAACATTCAGAAGACAACTTAATGTAATTGACTGGCTGACGCAGAAACCTCCCACGAGGGGCAGCTGCAGCTCATTTACTTCTCTTCCTCTCCTTCTTTATCAGTATTTCTTGTGGACAGTTTAGAAATAACTTACGCTCAATGTTTTTGCAAATGAAAAGGGGTAAATTAAAATTATGTGTTGCCAAGAATTGGTCTATTTGAATATGAAGCTGTATTGTCAAAAATGGACTCTGACAAAACAAATGAGGGGGAGAAATTGAAACTAAGCAGACTATGAATAATGTCGAGCTATACGGCTCTGAACACTGGAGACATACTAAGAGTAAACAGGCAGGAGGGGGGTGGGGGGGGGGGGGCAGCTATAGCATCAGGAAACAAAGTTGTGCACATCCCTCTTGAGTAGAAAGCAGAACAAATAAGTGACACTTTTATTGTGTAACACTAGCACACAGAGCTGGCTTTTACACCTGGGAAACAAAACAAACTTAGACTAAACAAGCTCATCAGGTGACAGTAGTCAAAACCATAAGCTGACATTCTGCAGGCCTTCAACTCATACAGGAGAAATTGTCAGGTAGAGAAACAGATTTGTGAATTGCATGAAATGCACCACTGCTAACCGCCGGGCCTCTCAATCCCACAACACCTCGGTGCCCTCTGAGAGCCGAGAATCCAAATAGAGTGTTCTGCTATTTGTCCCCCTAACAGCCTCTCTTCCATCATCCTCCCCATGTGCCCCAAGTTGGCACAGAAAAGGCAGTGGCTCCATTCTCACCAGATTACCCGGAGCAGAAAGTGTCTCGCACCTCTGCTTATCAGCCCCACCAGCACACATCAGAGCAGCAGGGACGGGGAGAAAACATCGCCCACAAATAGCACAAGACATCGCGGCTCCCTCCATTAGAGGAGCTGGGGGTGTTGCCTCCTGCTTGTGGCTCTTCAGGCTATAGTTGGATTTAATGTGGATTGTTTATCAGAGGTGGGAGCTTGACCCACTTGTGTTTACTGAGAAGGAAACTAAAAGGAAATACATTAGAACACAGAATTTGAGAGACCATCTTTCTCTGTGATCCAGCAGACCACACTGAATTTGAAATAAAAAAAAAATGGCTTCAAGGTTTAAAGTGGAAATGAAACACTAAATGTAGTGAGCATAATTTACTAAATGGATTCCCACTTGATAAAACATTCTAGGTTGAACACTGTCAGTGGATCACTGGATTAGCATAGAAGTTGGACTGCAGCATTCAGACATCAGTAGACACTTGGGGTTTTTCTTGGTGATGCTACATCAGGCCTGTACAGCAGCCACTGGGCCTTTTTCACTCCATCC